CCCACGTTGATTCATATTAACGTATTAGTCATATAACCATTATCTTACCCTTAAGAATATGAATATTGTTTATGCATGTAGAGGATAGCCACATAGAGAGACATTACTGATTTATGAAATAACATAAGAACAGCGGGTCTTAATAAAGCACTTCGACTTTTTAAATGAAAGTTAGGAAGGAAATGAAACAGTTCAAGATACATTTTACATATTTCACGCCCAATTATTTTTAGGGTGAATTTTAAAAATAAACTTTCTCTTAGACATAGCGTAACGATTAAAACGCTGATTTATAAAAAATATTTTCCCGGCATCCACACTCACATCAGGTCAAAACCTGATATTTTGATACATTGCATATACTCTTGATGACTGTAGCAGCACTGAAAGAAAGTAGCAAACAAACGCAAAATGAGATTACATTGGACCCTCGTTCCTGCAATAATTCGATGTATATTAAGTTTAGTCAATAATAATATTACCGACTCATGCAGACCCTAAGCGGCTACTTAAGGGTTGAAACTTTTAGTGAAATAGACGTTCAGACAAGTCAAAGAGTGAGAGTAACCCCACTGTAGTTATTCCCTTCATCCAAAAACTTTCTTCCAAAATCAAACAGTACTTGTAGAATGAAGGCTTACGAATCTGGTTCAAGATCAGCGCATCAGACAGATGAGGTTTGCAGATTTACTGGGCAGGTGGCAATGACGGTGACAAGACTCTTACGTCAGAAGAGCATAAGATGATTGAATAGAAGTGTAGAACGTCTAGCAGTTAGGAGAAATGCGGAAACCCCACCATCCTGGATTCATCGACCACGCTTTCTAGTTGAGGCATTCATTCGGACGAATGTCATTTCGGTTGATACGGATAGAATAGACTTTAGGCGAGTCGCCACACACGTCTTTGATAAAAACCGACTGTTTAACGAATGTACGATATCGTATAATCTGAATGACATCTGAAATATGATCATCCGGCTTGTCCGGAAGAAGCAATGAACAACCGTTACGAGATCTCACAGCTTAACCCTGTTTAAATTGTGCCACATAGCCCTGAAGATTCCGCAGGTCTGAGGCGTCGAAACGCGTCGATGAGTGAAATAAATTTCATAAATTTTTCTTTTAAATTGTAGCCTTGAATCATTGTTCGAAATCAAAGGATCACTGATGTTGATCTTCCTTTCAGATTTTCAATTCAACTGAAACAGCATCGGATGCAAGATCGCATCTGTGAGTTGGGCTGAAAATAAAACAGATTCTACACCAACGTACCTTGTCACCATCCGTTGGAAATCATGCAGACAAAATACTATACCATATAACTCCAATGTTATGTGGTAGCTACCACTAATATCCGAATTGTTGTTCACTTTCTATCTCGCCTTCTTTCTTAGTGGATCGTAATAAGAGGCTTCCGTTTTGCTGCATTTTCAAGGAACCACAAAGTTGCGGATACTCAGTGTAGCAACTTCCGGCCAGTTGCTTCTGTCTATTAATTGGATGAGGGTGACCCTGAACCGTGAACAATGCCATTATTAGGTTGGATTTGCTTAAGCCACACACAAAATCCAAAATCTTCAGTCAATTTAGCCATCTCTCTTTGAATTCATTTCTTCACTTGCAACCCACGTCCGTCGCATAGCGGTCAACAACGATATCTACTGCATCAGCTTCAGATAAAGTCAAGCTGTTAGTTTGATGCCACCAAAGTACTGGTGACCTGTTGCACCACCGACATTAATTACTAAAGTACACATAACTATCTTCCGCTAACCACACAACGACTCAATCGCACATTCCTTTCCTCACACGTGTAAAGTTTGTTTAATCGCGAGTGCACTATCTCCTCGCTGTTAGAGGGTTCTAACAGAAGCAAAACACTTTGACAAAACTTTGGATATCCGCATGAAATTCAACAGTTTCCTAATCCGCAAGGAGACCGGAATACTACTTTTCAAAGCCTTGGCAACTGAACACATTTGATTCAGGAAAGTTAGCAAAGAGCAGTTTTCTGGCACAGGGAAAGAGCAACGCAGACTATCGACAACCGGCAATATTTATTTATTTTCTGATATGTTTATCTTATGAGAACTCGTTCACTTACTAACTTACTCCTTTACCTACTTACTTGCCCAATCGATCACTTTCTTGCGCACTTAGTGATTCACCTTCATTTTCATCTTCCATCGCCGCTTCTCCTACCGGGTCGCGGAGGCAGACACGTCAGACAGTGCTTCCAACGTTCCCGATCCTGTGTCAGAGTCTGAGCTTC